GAACCTCGTCCAATAATCGGTGAGCGTACTCGGTTTGCCATCATGTTGCTGAGACCACAACAACAACATCACTACTGTTTTATTACTACAATAAATATTCTAGTATCCCAATATTCATAGTGTCGGAGCGAGGAAAGGTATAGGGATCCATTATGCTATGACTGTTACTCGTGGAATGGTGTAAAATGGTTTACAAGATGAGTATATTCAATATTTCATTAAATATATTTTAGGGAGTGCCAAATAGTTATGGCACCCCGATTGATAGTTATAGTGTCACAGCACTGGATGTTGACTTTTTGTCTAAATACTTGGCCTGCACATTACACATAAATTAATAAATTAATATAGAATACTTGAGTAAATGATATCGAATTTGGGTAGGTTGGACATATTGCCCTGATTGTCCTAATTGTTAACACTTTTTTTTTTTCTAGAGAAAAGTTTTCTCTAAACTTATGAACTTAAAATTTATCAGTTACTTTTTTCCATGGCTTAAATATATTTTGTAAATTTTTGCTTTATTTAAAGTCATCAAAAACACATTAAATCATGTATCATATTTAATATTGATTTATGAAAATGATTATTTAACGTTCATTTGTCGTTTTGGCCAGAAGTGAGAATAATAATAATTTTATCACTTCGCAAATGAATACATTTGCATACGTACGGATCCAAATTACGGATTCGAAGTAAACAATTGCATATACCAGAGACACACTTGTAACCGCAAATCGTTTATGGTGCGAAAGTGAAGTCCTTTCACCTCAATTCAATACGCCAGCATTTGAATATCAGCAACTATGCGATAAAAAAACGAAATGACTGCATTCAATACTCTGTCTGTCTGTTTGTCTATTTGTCTGTGTATTTGTCTGTGTATTTGTCTGTCTATTTGTATCTTTGTATGCTGTGGTGCAAGCAAAAGTATCTGTGATGACATACCAACCGCTGTTAAGCGGATATCCGCCTACAATGCTATAGCTACAATAACTACAACAAAAGCAACAAGAGCATTAACAGGAATCGTAGAAGTTGCAGCTGCAGATACAATTTCAGCATCGCGGTCCACGGTTACAAAATTATTATCAGCAAAGCAACACAGTCAAATAGCAAAACAAAATATTTCACAACGTAACGATTTTCGAAGTACGCGTATCACGGCGCGCCGAACAATCGCTGAACGTATTACAATAGTGTCCTTGCGGTACGGTTCGTTGTTAAAATTCAATGAATTGAATTTTTCATTGATGCAACCTGCAGGATGCGCGGTACATTTTAAATGCTGTGCTGGTTTGGCTATAGATGTTGGCGAGTGTTTGGATGTTGCCAGTGTCGTTCCTTCAACAACAGTAATTACTGCCACGTGACAAAGTAAATTACGTATATTTGCATCTTCTAATAATTATGCTGGAGTTGGGTTCATTTGGAAATTTAAAACATTTGAAAAGGTTTGCTTTTTCTATTGCATATTCAAATATATTTTAAATTTAGACTCTGCCAGAAAGAAAGAGAATATTTTAAATTTGCTAAATTTTTAATATAATTATTATTTTTTCATGTATATATAGTAGAAACCCTGTTTAAATGATATTACTATTCATCTAAGATGTTTTTGTAGAGCATAGATAGTATGTAGAGATAGTTAACGGATTACGGTAGTGATAAACTTCTGTAAGGACGAGTTAGATTAATTGTTTGTTTTTTATACCATTTGTCTTCATAAGTAACTGAAAACAAATTGGAATTATGATAAACGAAAGCGTGAGCTCAGAATATACTCATTTTTTTTTTATGTATGTTCGATTGATCCCTTTCCGTATGATAATCTAAATGTCCATATGACCTGAGAATGGATTACCCTCTAGGCGTCTCTCCGCGTGTTCGCCTTCATCAGTCTTGTACATCAAGTGCAAATGCAGCTTGATCACTCCATTGAAGACATCGTCTAAACTTATGCCTTCTTCTTCCAACTCCGGTTGCAATTACTTGGAGCATTGTCATTCATTTTCGCGACATAACTAAGCCAGCGAAGCCGCTAGATGGTGATTAAAGTTATACAGCTCGTGGTTCATACGGATAGGTAGTCGTCGCCAACCAAAGAAAATTTTTCTCTAAATAATGCTTAGTGCTGCTTCATGATTCTGTAATAGCGTCCATGGTTCATGTGGTTTTGAGCCATAAAGAAGTAGGATAGGATAATCGACATATATAAAGAGTGTAAGTATTATCTGTGGAGAGAGAGAGAGAGAAAGATAGAGAGAGAGAAGAAAGAAAGAGAGAGAAAGAAAGAGAATGTAAGAGAGAGAGAGAGAGAGAGAGAGATAGAGAGAGAGATAGAGAGAGACGGAGAAAGAATGAGAGAGAGAGAGGGAAAGAAAGAAAGGGAGAGAGAGAATGAGAATAAGAGAGAGAAATAACTTCACAACTCAATTGCTTACTGAGCCCATAGTAGACCTATTAGGAATAGTATATTTTTTTTAATCACCAAGCTGAATAGTACCTATTGGCAATGATAATATTTTGTCTGGTCTTTAGGCTAATATCGTTGCCGTTTATTACGACAGTGCGAAGACAGATAAAATCCTTGGTGGATTTGAAAGTATATCTATAGACTATATATATATTAGTTACTACTGTATTACTTTAGTATAGAAAATTACATTTAATAAATTTAATTCAAAAAAAGAAAATATTTCACATACATTACAAATATTTTACATTAAGCATAAAATTGTTTATTTTCATCTTAAGTTCTTTACTATTTCATTATATCCGACGATTGAATTTAAATACTTAATGGACAATCATAAATATTTAAAGGCAAATTTTGTTATATATGGAAAAACAACTGACAGCAACAGAAAATGTGTACATGAATTGAGCTTCAAAGATGGACACAAACGACGTTCCGTGCATACTCCAATATAAACATATATGCTTTTAAGTTTATAGGTCTGTGGTAGGCTGCACCAGCAGGACATCTGTCCTGCTGTGTGGACTACAAGAAAAAGAGGTTAAAAGAGTTTCAAATAAATGACTTTAGTATCACCAGCAATAATAGTGATGGTGGAGTAGCGTTAGTACCCCATCAGTGTCCATCAGCATTAAAACAAAGAAATGTTTGCAAATGCAGCTTTAGCTGAAGTGCACATATCCTTGCCTGTTAAAGGCAGCAAAATTTAACAAAGAACAGCAGAAACTTTAGTATATGGTAAAATGAGAATAAAAAGGATGCAAAATCTTTGCTAAGGACACATTTCAAAGTGTGCTCGTAAATAAATCAATGAGCAATTTTTATTATTTCGGCTATTAAAGCGGCACTAAACGACCAAAAAACCATCCAAAACACATATCCTAACTCGAATATCTCAGAAGGAACGTTGGATGCTTTGCTGGATTGCAAAGGACTTTTTATGTTGGAATGCAAGCAAGTGAATAAATTTAGAAGAATGCGCATAAATTATGGCATGTGCAACTGAAAGATAATGTTGACTGACAGAGCGGTTTTATGGTATGAGCGGCGAAGATCTTAGGTCATTTGTTGTTTAAACAATCAAAATTAGTTAATTTAATTTAATTAAAAGGTTTAGTTTGTGATCTGTTTGTCTATTGACTGGCTGTTGTTGAAGAGAATGTTTAACTAACCTTATCATAAAGAGGTTTTTTCGAACAGTAATGAGCTACAACAACAAAAATTCATTTTATATTATTTTAATTAATTGAATTTTTGAATAACCTTTTTATAAAATCGAAATTAAATGAAAATAAATTTATCGTAATTAGTTTAATTACTTTATGGATTTGAGTTTGATGCAACTTATAATATTTCAGTGCTATTATTTTTATCTCAACTTTGTAGCGAATTCTGAATGAACTTTCTGCGTATTGTGTAAACCTACAGCTTATATATATATTTCAATGATTTTGTGTTCATATATGAGCGATCGCTCAAGGTCATTACTGTATGTTGTACAGGATCATATATTATTTCTAAGATCTCGTATTCATATATGTTATGAGTAGTTAGTCACCGTCATTTCTGTTCGTTGTAGATAGCGACATATTATTGTCAAGATGTCACTGTTTATAACATATATGACGTGAAGTACAAGTGCACCACTTGTTAGTGTTTTCGTGTCACATCTAACATATAGACAGGAATATGTCTAATAATCATTTTATGCATTGATAATACCTCCTCGTATGTCTTTTGGAGGTTTTATAGCTGCCTAAATTTTTCTAAAATGACACTAATATATATAACGATATAGCTTAATTACTGCAGTAGATCTACAAAAAGAATCTAAGGAGCTTAAGGTGTAATGACTCCTTAAGTTCCTTAAGGTGTATTTACTCTATTGAAAAATGTACATAGTAGGTTTTATAGCTGCCTAAATTTTTATAAATTACACTTATATATAACGATATAGCTTACTTACTGCAATAGATCTACAAAAAGAGTCTAAGAAACTTAAGATGTAATGACTCCTTAAGTTCCTTAAGGCGTATTTACTCTATTGTAAAATGAACATAGTAGGTTTTATAGCTGCCCAATTTTCCTAAAATGACACTAATATAACATTTATTAAGATATAGTTTAATTACTGCAGTAGACCTACAAAAAGATTTTAAGGAACTTAAGGTGTGATGACACTATTGCAAAAATTGAAAAAAAATTAAAACTTTTATAAAACTAAACGCAGAATAAGTAAAATATGCGTATTAGGCTCCTTTAGCTGTCAGGACTAATTCTAAAGTGATACTAATAAATGAATATAGCTTAATTACTGCATTTGGTATATAAATATAGATTAATTTGTATAAAGGTGATTTAGTTCTATATTTCCCGAAAAATTAAAGTTCTCCAAACTATCCACTCATTGAAAAGTATTTAAAATATGTTAAAGTGAAGAAGTTTTACTTTTGACGACTTCTAATTCAGAATTCCTTGAACGTTTTTAGTTACCATTTATTTATCAATAAAAAGCGCTATATCTTTATTAGTTAAATTAAATTTTATTGTTATTATATTCGCATATTTTTTGTAAAATAATTAATACATTTATGGCTATACGAGTACATCCGTTAAGTGTTCATTATCACTTCGCGTTTCACTTTTTGCAGCAATCATCCTTGGAGGTTTTTTTACAGGCACATTTGCAGCCCTGATCGCACTTGCAGTTATCGCCGCATTTGGTATCGGTGCATTTGCAATCTTTAAAAAAAAATCATTAAATATTTTTTATAATAAATGAAAAATATTTTTTTTTAAAAAACACTCACGATCACAACAACCTGGACAACCCATTTTTAATGTAAATAATTAAAACGCGAGACGATTTTTTTTTAAATATTATCAGTATTCTTCGCTGTGACTACTTAGCAGCTCTGTTGCTTTCCACTCGACTGTTCTGTTGGTTTTATATCTTTCTAGTTTATTCGTAAACTTTGTTGTGCGGTGTGCAATGCATGTTCGAATTTCGAATTCGAATTGCGTAGTTAATTATTTTTACAGTTTTTTGCGTTCTTAAATCTTTAAGCTTTATTTTTACACTAAGCCGTGCGCATTTGTTCACGTTTTCATTCACACTGAAGTGGGAACTTTTGCACTCAGTCTTTTCGAAGTTTATTTTTTCTAGAATTTGTTTATATTTTCGTTCTCACTTTTTGGTATTTGTAGATAAGTGTACATGTACATGTGATTGACTTTAAAGCCGGCAAATGTAAACAGTCGTTAATGTAGCTATTTATGTGGATGGTTTTCAGGTCTCAAAACAAAAGCCGTTGTGGTCTCCGATTGTTTATATTTACTTTGACTCGTATGTGTTGTGATTAGATAAGATAATTGCTTAAAATATTACATTTCTGTTGATTAGTTATTAATATTATTAAATTATATATTTAAAGTTGTGTAAAATGAGTAATTATTTAAAAAAAATTTGTTAAGGGATTTTTTTAGAAGATTTCAGTATCAAAAGTTTGTAATTTTAAATATTTTTAATGCATAATGCATGCATAAAATATTTGGTTAGATTGTAGTGGCACAAGCCTATTGTATAATAATATTCTATTGTGATACCAAAGATTATAGTGATTTTTACGTTGAGCAGAAAGATTCCCGAAAGAAGCAGAGTGATCAGCTTACAAAGAACGTTGAAAGGCAAGATTTTTATATGTCATTACAATTTGGCAAAATTCTGGACACGTTCAATTTGGTTTCTTCTGAATCTTGTTTTATTTTCCTTTATCTCTGATTAACATTTTTTAAAAAGTACGTGTGTGTAGGCAATTCAAGATTTTTTGGTTCATTCTCCAATATTTCTGATAAAGATTTCCAATTTCTCATCCAAAGAGTTCTTATGTGCTGTCAATAACGTAGTTTTTTGGATTGTATTAGAAAGATTGGGAGGTCTGTCAATAATATTAGTTTCTGGATTCTGTTAGAAAGATTGAGAGGTAGAAGAAGATTGTCTTATTAGCTAAGAGGTCGTATAAATTCCATAGCTTTTGTAATTTTAAGGTAAAGTTTGGAATTTTTACGTCTAGTTTTTATATATTGTCTAATGTATATATTTGTAGGACTTCTAAGTTTTTGTTGAGTGAAATGAAAAATTATATTATTTATATTAAAAACACGTATTCTACAATTGGATCACATTCATTTAAGAATATTTGTTAAACATCTCAATCTCTAAGAGACAGCATATACCTGAATATCATCTTCGTTTGTAAATTATAACAGTTCTTTATTGGTTTTTAATGAAGCAATAAGATATTACAACTCCACAATTAGTATCAAAAATTTTTATCAGTATGATGATAACTGTTTGTTAGTAAAAAATTTTATAATTACAATATATCGTCACCCTTAAAGATATATTTTATAGTTGTTAATTTTTATGTATTTATATGTATTGATAATATAACACGTTACTTTAATTCAAACATGGTAATATTGTTTTCATATAATATAATATTTTTTTAGATGAACTTAAAATTGTTTGTTACTATTTACAGTATTTCAATTGTCTTAATAAATTTTTTAATGCATCTTGCAGTCATAAATCACTGATAAAAATTTTAAAAAGTGAAATGAAATTAAATTGGGCGCCAACTTCTTACAGGCGTTTCTCGAAACATAATTACACGCTCACTGGCGCTGTGTGAATGAGTCTCATGGCACCAATGCCACAACGATTCCTATGAATTACAAAAACATCAAATCAGGGCTAAAAAATATGCAAATTTTTATTTACACGACAATTTCAATTTAACGAAATTTTAAAAGTTAATTTTTTTTTATCTAAAAGTGATTTTCTCAACTTTTTTTTTTGCTATCAAAAATTGCTCTCAATTGTATCGTTAACGCCACATACACGTACCGTGAAATACTGTAGCAGCAAATCATGAGAATAGCAAAAAACTGTTTAAAAGGAAATTATGCTAGTGCCTATGGGCGTCCGCCATTTTAAGCGCCATTTGCAACAGCCCTGCCACATTGGAGTTGCTATAATCTCCAAAAGCGCATAAACAGTGCATAAATTATGCTAACATGCCGCCCCTGGTTTGTGAGAGATATTCACATACTTCAACTAACAATTTTGGTACGTATTATAGGGTGTTGTGTAGGGTATGGACATTACAGATTGTATTAATATTTTTGCTATTTAGCGACAATGAAAATGGTTACCTTCATTAATGCAACACTAACTGTGAATGCTGCATCAATATCTTTTAAAAGGATTATGCATTGTATATTATGATTAATTATTAATATAATAATAAGTAGTGAAAGATAAATAATATTATAAATAAAAATAAAATATTTATACTTTACTATATATAGTAATATCAGACTTTTGTGTTTTCCCTCTATTTCAGTGCTTCAAATACTTTGTTTTAGCAAAGTAAGCTTTGGTTTGTATCTTGAAGATGGTTTTGATCCGAAAAATTTTTTTATTTTAGTTTAACAGTCACAGGAACAATGTTTTCTATTAAAAGACATAGTTAAAAGACATATAGATAAAATTATATAAATTGCATTAAAAGTTTCTTTTCCTTCTATCTCACTTTCCGGATCCCGCTTCAAGTGACTGCAATTTGTTGGCAGAACTTAAAAAATATTTCATTCTTCATTCAATATACGGTACGACGTTTGGTTCCAAAGTAATGTTTGGCTAAAATGTAGTCTATTCTGAAATAAAAGATAAGTTCTTGTTAAAAAAATTGAAATATTAAAGAAGCTTTGCATCATTCTTGAAGGAGAATTTTGCTGAAAAGTCTTTGTTTTATTATCATTCCACAAACATATTGAGTGATTGAGTGAATATTGTATATAATATTGAAATAGACAGTTGGTTATGGAAAGGTAAATACAAATAATATATTTAAGATCCTATATCAATCGTCTGCGGTGTAGTTAAAAATCTGAATTGGTCGTTGGATGGAATAATTTACTCTATTTTAATATAAAACTCACTGACGCTCGAGGTAGTGTTGACTGAGAAAGTATAAGAATTATATATTCCTCTCAGAAAGGAATATACTTCTAATGGCTTGAACTATATAACATTAATAACATATAACATTTTTTTTTATTATTTGCTGAGGATATAAAAATTTCACAAAATATTATTGAGATCTCCAATTTGGTGAAACCTGTAAAATAATAAATAATATAATAAAATCTCATAACAACATTTATTGAGGCTTTAAAAACAATACAACTTTCTGGCATAATCGATTAATGTGGACTTAACAACAAAAATTAAAACACCTGATGTAATTTTTTAAACGGAAGACATTTACAAAAACAACATGCGTTATAAAATGACAAGTACAGCAACAACAATGAAAAAAAACAACAAAAAAAGGTGAGTTTACAAGGTGAATGCTGTTAAATTGTAGTTGTTGTTATTGTAATTTTGTTGTTGGTATTTTAAACATTTGAAAATCTGTTCATTTACAGGGACGAGGTAGCAAGTATGAAATAAAAATAAAATAAAAAGCAACAACAAAAATGAAAACATAAAATTAAACAAGAGTTAAAAAAATTACAAATAAAAAAAACATTTCGTTCCCTTCGCCATTGTTACAAGTGATTGTTCGTGTTGTTGTTGTTCTTAACATTGTAGTAGTTTCATTCATGTACGAATAGCATAGCATCACACTATATATCGCGGGAATGTATTGTATACGTGAAGAGGGTTAGGTGGGGCATTCGGCGTGCGAACGTTTAATTTAAATTTTAATTTCGATCTTAATCTCTTAATGCGAAATGAAATTGCCGCGCACTGGTGGCATGTTACGTGTTACTTTCTGTTGCTGCTTTTTTGTTTATTTCTGTTTTATTCATTTCTTGCTCCTCCAGAACGATGCTTTTCGTTTGCGCTACACTTTTAAAACGACTACTGTGTTTACTATCATTTCAGTAGCTTTTATATATAATATGCGTTATTAAAAAAAAACAACAAAATAATAAATTTTGATTTTACAGAAATATTTGTGCTACTAAAATATTTCATTACTATTTTCTTAGTTTTTTTAGATATAATTATAATATTGTTAACATTAAAAATATTTCAATTTAAGATTTCGACAGAAAATATTTTTTTGTATTTAAAATTTTTTTAACTGTCTAATTTTTTTTTAGATTCAAGTTAATATTAATTAATAATTACAAATATGTGAATTGAAAACGAAGATTTAAAAAAATTTTAATTAACGAGTAATTTAATATTTCTATTATGTTTCTTCATCTATTATTCTTTCTTCATCAGAGTTTACTGTTCCCAAAACTTGGTTTTGTTGTAACGTAAATCTGGAGTAACTTTTTTAACCGATATTAACTTTTAATGCAATTTTGATTTTCGATTGGTAAATCTGCATAACACTCGAAATTAATTTTTATGGTAATAATATAAATTATTACCAGAGTAGCAATATTACCTTGATATTAACAGCTGTTTTATATAACGATTGTAATTTGATTCGATATATGTATGTATTTATGAGAAACATAAATACCTATTAACACAACTATAAAAATCTTAGATTACTTTAAAAATGTTTGATTAGGCAACAAAATTTGACAGAACGAGAGTAAATCTAGATTAAATCCAGTTGGAATCCAGATTTACCAATCGAAAACGCTATAAGTAACAATCAAGTTCGCTGCAAAGTAGAAGTGTACTCGTTATTGTTACTGTTAGTCTGTGTTGAGATATTATGTATACATATGATTATATACGGACTACTATAAATGTTATTAAGTCAAGAAAAATTTATTATTTGTATCCTTTTTATTAAAGTACTATTATAGTAACAACAATAATTTCGGCAAATAGTGGTGTAGTGTACATTTCTAAACCATCATGACTTCCTTTACTGCTCTAAGATAATTATATTTTTTAATTTGTTATGCGTGTAGTGTTGTTTTTGTTTAATTTTGTCACCATCACAAATAGAGGGGAGTGAAGATAACTTTCTATTAAATTGTGAATGTACATGCAAAATTATGTGCCAATGTCAAAGGTCTAAGCATGTAACAGCGCAACCATGTATCTCTTGTAAAAAGTTTGAATTTTCAATAAAGGTTGAATGGTGTGTTTAAATTCTAATGAGTTCCATTTTATACCCACACTGTGACCGAAGCACCGATATGCAGATTTTACTAATTAAAGTCAAGTTTATGAAAACACTTTTGACATTAATAAATACATCGAATTTAAATTGAGAAATAAGTCAGTATATATAGTACAAATAACGAAATGATTTTATTTAAATTAACAATGATTTAATCATGATATTATAAAATTTATCATAATATTGAAATTGTGTTCCATAGTACATCACATTTTGGCTTTTCTAATTTTTATTGGCGCAACACTGATCTTTGGGTCCATTCTTGCAAACACAATGGCAGTCCTGATTACAGCAACAGTTATCGCCGCATTTGTTTGAAGTGCATTTGCAGTCTAGAAAGAAAATTTTTTAAATTTAACAAGGATTTTATTAATCTTCTAGTATAGAATTAAGTACTCACTAGTTCCACATCCCTTGCAAGCCATTTTGTTTGATATTTTATTTTAAGTTTAACTTTTTCTTAACGTTGTAACTCGTTAACTGTTACTTTATACATCTCTAACTCTACATTTTATAATAATTATTTAGTAATTATACGCGTGCAATTTCACACGCTCTTATCTGCATTTTTACTACGAAACTTACTTATTTTTCATTAACAAATTTTTTTTTATCTTATCAATCATCGAGTGCAAAACTGTCCTTCTTATCAGTACCGACAGGTGTTTACCAATTATTTAGCGAAATGTTTCACATTTTAATTAAACATCTAGATATAAAAAAAAAACATTTGAGCCAAAGGTAAAAAACATCTAAATGTAAAGATTTATTCAATAATAATAATATAATAATAATACAAAAGAAATTATTGTAAATCATTATTAGTATTAGATATTCAACAAGAACTTTCTGAGCTTTCCTAGATAGGTCGGTTAAGACTTGCTGCCAACAATTTTATTACAAATTTTTTTCTATGAGAAATGGGCTTTCACTGCGTATGAGTGTCAAAATAATTTTCAAAATTTTTTACATTTATACAAAAATACAAATCTATCCAAATAAATTAATTATTTATAATTGTATTAGATTAGGAAAAAAGTATAAAATATTTTGAAATTTATAACTATTAATTTATATTAATTAGAATTAAGTCTGAATATGTAAAATTCAGAGCATAAAATGTATTCATCACTATAATATCAAGAACAATTTAAAGCTGGTTTATTCATTGGCGAGAGATATAGCTGTAGGTTTTTAAAGTTCTTATGCTTTTTGTCATATAGTTCTAGTGTCTTTAGAAGAATCTAGAAGCCATTATGTTTAGTTTCTTTTGCACGTGATACATATAGTGTATATGATTTCGATACTACCTTTTGAATGTACAAATGATATTTAAGCATATTTTTAAAATTCTTTAATGAAAATGATGAGGTATTAATTAAATGAGATTTTAAAAAATAGAAGTCAAAATTACATTCTCTAAAAAACACATATAGTACTTGATTATAGTCCAAAATTAATTCAATTTCAAAATCTACAAAATCATTGAAGGTAATATCAATCATTATTATTATAATTTGTTTTAATTCTATAATAATATTATACTATAATAAGATCATTTAGAAAAGATTTGTAATTTTTCTATTAGAGCTTATATAGTATTAAGTTAAAATTAAGTTAAATATTTAAATGTTTCTAAATTTTAATTAAAAATGTCTTCAATCATTGGAAATAAGTTCCAAAGTTGAACTGGCTGATATCAAGCTGCTATACATAGGATACTGTGTCATAAGCAACACCAGAGTTTTATTACGGGTTGTCATGAATATTAAAAGTAACATTAAAGCAATTATAATTTGATATAAATTAAATTAAAAGACCATATATATATGTGATCATAAACAAGACATTCAAAATTGTATAGCTATTGATCTCACTAATTTAAATTGGCCTCTTTAAATTTTTCTTGATATCAAAGTATAGATTTAAGAGGACTTAAATTTGATTTACGCATGTTTATAATTATTTATTTAAAAATATAAAGTAGTTTTCCCTTACTTTTTTCTATAATTTTCAAATTTTTTAAAATTAAATACCCTACTAAAAACTACAAGATAGCAACTATCATAATAATTTTGATATTTTTATCGAGTGAATACATACACTTTTTCCTGAGTGAATGTTTCCTGAATGTTTTGTAAATGAAGACGTTTCAATATTTTCGCTATAGCTCGATGAGAATATAATGAGACAGCGTCGGATACAATCAGATATTTATGTTCAGATTTGTGATCAAGTTACAAAAAGCATAATTGACTTCGTCTGGGGTTCCAGTGGTCTTATAAGCCATTCTAAGTTAAGTCTGATTTAAATGTAAGCATGTTACCAAGTCTTTTAATTCGTCATTAATTCAGACTATACCGCTATATTTTAGTGTTTTGTTGGGTCAACATAGAAGAAATATTTATTCCATTTCATGTTTATGGTATGTAAGCTCTATGGACTCGTACTCGTTAATGATTAGAACAATGACTATAAAAAATAAAAATCAAATATATTTTAAATTGTCATTGTTTAGATAATAATATTTATTTGAAATATTTTGATTACAAACTGCATAGAATGTGTTTCGTCATAAAATTGGTCAAAACTCACGTCCACTGATAAGCAAGTGAGTTTTGCACTCGATCACTGATAAGAGAAATTAATTTGTTAATGAAAAAATACGCACCTTTGTATTAATTTCGTACTGAAAATCCAAAAAAAGGCGTGTGAAACTGCACACGTAAATTTGTTTATTAATTAGTATAAAATGAGCTGTTTCGAGATATTAGACTGCAATTAACGAGTTATAACGTTAAAAGTAAAATCAAAAGAGAAAAATCAATAAAATGGGTTGCAAACGCTGTGAATCTAGTAGGTTTTAATCAAAATAATAAAATAAAAATAATCTACAATTTATTAATTATTTTTTATTTATTTATTTAATAATATTCTAACTTTTTTAGACTGCAAATGCACTTCAGACAAGTGCGGGGATAACTGCTGTTGCTGCAAGGATTGCCATTGCGTTTGTAAAAATGGTACTAAGGAACAATGCTGTGCAAAGAACTAAGAACTTGGATGGTGAACCAAAAGAGAGATATGGGAATTTGGTGATAGAAAATTTTATATAAATAAATTAAATTACTTTGTTTTGTCAATGAATAACAATAATAAATTTAAATGAAAATGTGCAAAATTATGTGTGTTCTTTAATAATTATATACAAATATTTTTAAAAGGATCTGAATATTAAACAAAAATGTTATATATAAGCAATAGCATATAATTGTTCAAATGGTCAAATGGTACATTTAAATTTTTTATTTTATGCCATTTTTTATAAAAAATTCACATAAAATCGATACAAAAAAGTTCTAATGAGGTCCGACTTAAGTGTAAATATGCGTTAATCGTATATTACGTACTTAATAAGCTATATATGATCCCTTTAATATTTTTGAAAGCTTATTTTTAAAAGGTATGATTAACTGCTATACAATTAGTAAACTAATTCTGAAAAACACATAAAATAAAATAGTGTGAGTGTACTCTTCATAATCAGAAACTACCTAACCTAACTTCTTCGTCTGTCTTTCTTTTTTATAAATTGAACATAGTGTTAGAACCTTACTTGTAATATAGCCTAACTAAGCATAATAATAAAGCATAAGCATAACCTAACTTCTTCGTCTGTCTACCACTTTTCTAATTGGAACAGAGTGTAGGCTTACTCTCTCTTATGAGAAACTACCTAACCTAACTTCTTCGTCTGTCTTACACTTTTCTAATTGGAATATAATATGAGTGTATTTTTAATTATTATAAACTACCTAACCTAACTTCTTCGTCTGTCTTCTTTTTTATAAATAGAATATAGAATATATACCCTACTCCAGGATTAATATAATTCTCTTACTCCTATATCAATTGTTCTCCTATCCTAACATAGAGGAGGATAAAAATTACTTCTAAATATTTAGCTGAAATTTCAAGGTAATAAACATTTTTTTAATTGATTCTTCAAGAAACTTAATTAAAAATTTAAATTAACGAAAATTAAATAACTAAGGAAATTTAACCAAATAATAAAAAAACGTAATTATTATACCAATTCCGAGACTTTCGAGAAGATTTGATGGAGCTTGTTACCATTTGCATTTAAGGTTTTTTAATTAGTCAATGCCTCGTAAGCCAACTTAAGCAAGGGGACTTTATGCGGCTTGCCAGGTGAAGTGCAGCTTATTTAAAATAATGGAAACTTTTCATAATGACTTTTAGTCCAAGTTGGTTCATGGGTTGCTGAGCTATAACTTTTACATAAGAGAGTTGCCAACAATTCCAACAACACAACTACCAAAGCAGCAAAAATAAAAATCCGAAATAGTTGAGCGTACCAGAGTAAAATCAATTTTGACAGTTACCTGCAGCGGAAAAAGTTTCAAAATTTCTATAATTTTTTTTTGTTTTAAAATTCTTGCTTTCATTTTGTATTTTGCAAATTTCTAGAATTTCCTGTTGTTGTGTGCATTACCGTTGATGCGGTGTTATGGCGTAAAATATTTTTCTAATATTTTTGTTTTTCCTTATTTTTGATATAATGGTTTGAATTTTGCAAAACTTTGAGGTAAAGGTAACCAACAACAAAAAAAAAAGAAAATAAATATATGAAATAAAAAAAACTAATAACTTTTGTTATTTTTTTAAAATGAGTTTTGCAACACTGGCAACACTGGCAACCCAGAAGTTGCAGGTGAACATATACCGGATGCGGAAATGAATCTAGTTTACAAAATTTTGAAAATGTGCAATTCTAGTTTGTTGCTTCGTTAAGGTTTTTTGACTATTCGCTTGCCTAGACTCGCTCATGTGCTGCCGAGAGTTTTGGGTGAATGTGTGTCTCGGTTTGATGTTAAAGAAGTTTTGATAAAATTTTAATTATGATTTTGCTGCAGAAAATGTTGTTTCGGAATATTCCATTAAAGTTTTTGTTTTTCACTGCTTGGTACTCCAAAAAAGTTTTGCTGCTGTGAAATATATAAATTGGTGTATTTATAATAAGCTTAATGGAAACTCGTATGTTCTCGAATATATACATATATGTATATATATATGTAGTTATTAAAAATTTAAAGTAAGCTAATTTGAAGAGATATTTATATTTTTTTTAATTAAGCTTTTAAAAATCTTGAATTAGTAGGATATGCTCACTGTTTACTTATACTTGGAATATATGAGAAAATCTATAGATTACAATTTTATAAGTACCTCAACATTCATGCAGTATTTTATATATTCATATTGCATATTCTAGGTTATGTTAGGTTACAGGGGGCGTACTATAATCATAGATAAAAATAATCATAGGAAATAGAATTTAGCTCTCTTAGTGAATTGTAAAAGTGCGACCTAAAGTATTAGAGTTTATTAGAGTCTTGCGAAAGCAGGACACTAATCCTCTATGCAGTGTCTACAGTGCAAGGAGGTCCTGATATTGAGCCTCACGGTAGGTCCTTTCCACAGGCAGTGTCCCTTAATAATTCCCACTATCTTAGATAAATTTGCATATGTATAGTACATAGGAGGACAACAACATTAAGATTAAGGAGTATTTTTAAATAATGTTGGAGTAGATTAGGCGGGTATTAGGTGTTATGATTGAATTGTTAACATGTTTTTCATAATAAAAACAAGTGTGTTCATTCCATCTGCGTGGAATTAATATTCCTTTATTGTGTAAATCCAAATTTTTATCATTAACAAACTGATGTAGATGGTTTTCATTTCTTCGCTAGAATCTTTACATTTCTTTGTAGAGTTCCAAAAGTAGATTTTTGAAAAACGGGTGCAAGTCAATTAAGTATAAATAATGGCCCGTTGTGATAACCTGGATGACATATCACCGGAAGGTAGCACTAGCTCACAAAGTAGCTTGTATTGATTTCTTAGTCAACACCTCTACCTTTTCTAGAACTAGTTGAGTTTTGTCTTTTATGTTTAAGATTCTCTTGATACGAAACTTTTGTAGTGCTCTACTTTCAACACACCTTTTCACTCTTTTTGAAAGATGTTTGATTTGATTTAGTTTTGGCAGTCTATCTCATATTAAAATTCAACACAGTTAATATTTTTAGACAGTTTCTGAACCTTCCAGAAACACAATGTTAGACGTAATTTTATACAATCATTTAAAACAAATCACTCGTCAAAGCTTAGTTACTTATTGTTGTCGATAATGTGTAGTCATATTGTTCTCCATATACTCTATCTATAATTTCATTAACTTTTCTCATAATGGGCTAATAACAAGGAAACCCACCATTTATATCTATACTTCCAATTAACATATGAGTTGAATAATTTCCGGGGTAACAATAACAGTGCATATATCGTCACATTTATGACTGTTATTCTCTATCGTAGTAAAATTATAAATTTTTTCAATCGGTTCCCGAAATTTTATTTTCAATTATTTACAAAAACAAAAACATAAGCTAACGAATTATTTCACATATTTCATATATGATAATAGTGCTTCGAAATAGCATACTTATGCTATTTATAGCTCTTTAATTTAATTATATTAAATTATATTATAAATGGCCTTTATGAATTAAGTATTGGATGAATTTAGTCTCAATAGCTATTAATACATCTATGTATAAGTAAGAATGCTAACCCGCTATTTAAATCATCACGTTTGGAAATAATTGATTCCGTGAGAATGTATAAACCATTTTGTGGTAGTGAGCTGAATCATAAGTAGCATATATAATTATAAGTAGTATTCATGCACCTGCGATTTCTTGTATGCGATTTTTTCTTAATATTACTCATCTCTGTTGTGCAATAATTTTAAAAATACGATTAAATCATAGTCGCTGTTTACATTAGCTGATTATTCTCACTGTAGTCCAATCAGGTAGAATACAATAGCAGATGAATTTTGCTTAATAGTGCTTTGTAATATAACTCCTGAGATTAAACGTTAATCTTAGTAAAACCTTTTTGAATGAAAATCCGCTAATAATGAGACTTTTTAATAATGATTTTCCAAATTAAAAAAAATAATAAAGTCAAACGAACTAAAAGACTCCAGATAATTTTTCGTTAACTCATTTTAGAAATATATATTTAAATTATAAGCAGGTAACCAAAGGGGTCTACTACTATATAGGTTGTTTGAAAAGATTTGCAGATGACAAATAAAGAATTTTAAAACAAAGTTGTTTTGTTTAGAATCCACATAATGGAATATTCAATTCAAGATAAAAATAAGTAATATATAAAACATTAAAATAAAAAATTAGTGCTGTAATATAGCTTTAATAAGTAACATTACAGCAACATTCGTATTGGTCATACTCAAATTGTGTATAAAAGTGTAGGTTTAGTTATCATTAAATTGTTTCAATATCAGTTGATGTTATTATTAATATATATATTTATAGATATATGTGAGAATCTGTTTTCATCATAGTCTACCTTGAGTGTATAGCGTTGATTATTATAATAGTTGATATTGAATAACAATAAAAGCAAAGACAAAGATTATTGACGCATAGCTATATCAAAAAAATTACCTACTGGTATTATTTCTACACTGAAAATATTAGAATTGATTTTTAATGCAGAGGGTGGGCAGAAACACCACCCTCTAATATCAGAAAATTTTTTAATGAAAGGTTTTTTGACTTTAATTTTTCAGACGGGATATCTTCTGTTCAGATAGATAGGGTTAAGATAAGCATAGAAGATCTGTTGATCATAGCACTCTGTTTCAAATTGGAGTCTAGGTCCCTGTATTTTATGTGTCCCCAATATTAGTAAACACTTTGCTCTTGTATTTTATTTAAGGCTTTAGTATTGAGACTTAATTACTTGATAGCCTTGCCAGCCAGCATGATCGGTGGCTTACTGTCGAAAGTTATAGTAACGAGTGCTTTCATATCATTGCTCATCCGGTCCATCCACCGAAGAAGCGGACATTACCTGTCGCGTTTTCTACCAGCTGCAACCTACTTAAACATCTTGCTACCAGTCCTTCACAACTTCGAAATTATATTTGTCGATGGTGACGTGGGTTTCAAGACGCTTAGTAAAAAATATATTTGTAGACAGAAAGTACTCAATATTAAGGCAGTAATTAATAAAGAACTATATTTTTTTTTTAAATCGAATTCGTTTAAT